AGTGGTTGACATGGCCAAGACTCAGGTTCCTCACCTGTAAACTGAGCCTGAGAATATCCACCTCCCAGGGCTGGTTGTTAAATAAAAACACGATGTGTCTGGCACAGACTGGGAACTGGGCTTTCTTTCCACTCTCCTCATATCCCATCTGCTTTGTTCTAAGTGTTCTTGTACTACCCTTAGAAGTCTGTGTGGAGACTGGTGGTCTGTTGCTCACAACGAAAACCCATGAAAGGAAAACCAGTAAACAGCACCCACCCTGCACGGTCTAGATCAGAGGTTCTCACGCTTCACTGCACACTAGAATCCCCTGGGGAGCTTTTAAAAACCCCAAGAGCAGGCTGCACCCCAAATCAATTAAATCAGAATCTCTGAGGATGGGGACCAGACATCAGGATGTTGTAAAGCTCGCAGGGGTTTCCAACATACAGCCAAGGTTGAGAATGCATGGTCTTGTCCGAGAGACAAGAATGTTCTCGATGTCCTGCTCTCCCATCCTTTGCCTGCGATCCGAGCACATCTCAGGGGCTCCCTGAGGTGCAGTGACCAGGAGTGCAGGACAGGGACTAGGGGAAGGTGAGTGAGACAACATTTAAGGAGGCTCTCACTCTTAGGTCCCTGCAAGAGTGGGGTGACCACCTCTCGCATTTCGTCCCCTAGGCTCCACACCCTTAGGGAGGCACCACCCTCCACTTGCAAGATCCAGAGAACGAGGCCTCCTTACTCACTTCCTGCAGCCTAGCCCCACCCTGGCCACCCCAGCCTACACCTCCCCACCCCCCAGTTGAAGGCTCCAAAGGAAAAGTAATCCAAGGGCCCCGTCCTGCCTCCCCAACTCAGGAAAGCGTATCTCTTTGAACAAATCGCCAAATCCCCCTCCTTCCCTGCCCAGGGCCATGGTTCCAGCCCCCTGGCCAGAGCCCAGCAACTGTCAGGCCACCTGGCCGAGAAGGTGAAGGGGAGACAAGGTGGCCCTTACCTGCCAGCCAGCCACTGTCCCTCTCCCTAGAGTAGGGCCCCTGCCCAGCTGACAGTTCAAAGATTCAGGGAAATGACGAGGCTTGGCAAAAGCAAGCATGACCTTTCTTCCAGGTGCAGGGGCAGGGGCAGGAAGGCTGGGGAAGATATTTCTCATGCCCTTAGCCTGGTGAGGGCCTCAGCTATGCCGAGAAGGGGTAGAGGTGTTCAGACTAAAACTCCATCAGGTGGCTGGAAGGTGGAGTGGGGTCCCCAGCTGTGCCCTGGAAAACATGATTTGTCTGGTCCCACTGCCCTATAAGCCCCAGCCTCCTCTTCCTTTTGGTTCTCAAATTTGAGCGACCTCAACAATTACCTGGAAACTTCCCTCCAGCTTCTGCTGCAGTAGGTCCACGTTTTGAACCTGCACCCTTAGGTGATTCTGATCCAGGTGTCCAAACTTTAAGCACCACCTCCATGGGTCTTGGTGCCGTCAGCTCAGCATCTGATCTCCCACTCATCTCCCTGCCCCCCAGCGCACACTGTAAATCCTCTCCCAGGAAAGGATCTGATGAAATCACTCACCCCGAGGAGTAGGATACAGAGAAGACTTGGAGGGGGACACGCGCTCCCAGGAGATCAAGACGCATTGCCCTCCTCTGTGAAGCCTGCACTAACTCCTCCTGTCGAAATTAGATGTCTACAGGAGCCAGGCAGGGAAGTGGTGAGAGAAGAGGACAAAAAGGCACAGTACCGTAGGGAGTGGTGGGGACTTCAGCACACTGGCGCGAGCATGCCCATCTGGGAGGGCGCAGAGGGGAGCAGCCACTTCTCAGCCCACCAGCTGTAGGTATGCAAACCATGGTTGCCAGATCTTCTGATTCGTTGAAAGAAGCCAGAAATCAGATTTTTATGGACGGTTTTCAATTTTTAAACTATGGGGCCCGAAGCAAGCACGTCTGAGGGTCAAATCTGGATGGAAGTGGGCCAGCCGTTTGCAGCCTGGTCTAGACAGTGAGCTCCTTGGGTTGAGAGACCTTGTGTTCACCCCTGTGCCCTCGGTGCTAGCTCACTGCCCAGGATACCTAGGGGGTTCCCAGCAAATGCTGTTACAGGAGCAAATAAGTGAAGGCAAGATGGGACAGGCAGGTCAAAAGGGACTTCCTGCCCCATCACACCTAAGGTCAGCCATGCTGGCCAGCAGGGGTGGGGCCTGTCTGAGAGCCCCTTCCCGGCTCCCTGGCAGAGGAAGCCTGGGCTGATGTCTAACTCACTCACACCTGGTAATTCACTCACATCCAGCATCCCTGGATGTTCCGTGAGAATCCCCTGTGGTGCAGACCTCTCTTGGGTCTCCAGTTTTATCCACTCCCCCGCTAAAGCCCCCCAGCCTCTCATGCCTCCTGCAAGGACCTGGACCCAGCTTGTCCCCAGCTTGTCCCCAGCTTGTCTTCACTTCAGGCCACTCCTCAGAAATCTTTGCCCAGGGGGTCCATCCCCCAGCCCAGGCCCAGCTCCTCTGAGAGCAATGGCAAGAGCAGACAAAGCCTCACAGCTGCCCCTGGGAGAAGCAAGAGGGGGAAAAAGCCCAGCCTGCGGGTCCCTGGAAGCATCCACATGTCCTGGACACCCCCTGACAGAGGAGGCATGTCTGAGGGCTCTGCCCATCTCAGCAGATGAAATCAGAATGTCAGGAGTGACGTGCCAGAAGGGAGGAGCTCTGCCCATCAGGAAGAGGAGCTGACAGGCTGCTTAAAACTGATCAGAAAAAGGAAAATAGAAGAGAAGGTATTGCAAGAACTATGTGAGATACAGGGTATACGATGCCATTTCATAGGAAGTTCAAGAAGAGTTACTAAGTGATGTGAGGACAAGCTGCGTTGATGAAGCAGCAGGTGGGGAGTAAGGCAGGGTGGGGTACTGATGGCGAGGGGACGAGGAAGCCTTCTGAAGTGATGGAAATGTTCTGTATCTTGCTCTGGATGGTACTTACACACGTGTATACATACAGAAAAACACATAACCTACATAGTACATTTAAAGATTTGTGGACTTTGGACTTCCCTGGTGGCGCAGTTAAGAATTAATGGTTAAGAATCCGCCTACCAATGCAGGGGACACGGGTTTGAGCCCTGGTCCGGGAAGATACCACATGCCGCGAAGCAACTAAGCTCGTGCGCCACAACTACTGAGCCTGCGCTCTAGAGCCCATGCGCTGCAACTACTAAAGCCTGCGCGCCTGGAGCCCGTGCTCCGCAACAAGAGATGCCACCGCAAAATGAAAAGCTTGTGCACCGCAACGAAGACCCAACACAGCTAAAAACATTAAAAAAATATATAGGGCTTCACTGGTGGCGCAGTGGTTGAGAGTCAGCCTGCCCATGCAGGGGATGCAGGTTCGTGCCCCGGTCCAGGAGGATCCCACATGCCGCGGCGTGGGCCGTGGCCGCTGGGCCTGCACGTCTGGAGTCTGTGCTCCGTGTTGGGAGAGGCCACAGCAGCTGGAGGCCCGCCTACGGCAAAAAAAAAAAAAATATATATATATATATATATGTATATATGTATATATAAAGGTTTGTGGACTTTACTGCATATAAATTTTACCTCAGCAATAAAAGAAAAAAGCAATGGAAGAAAAGAGGGGAAAAGCCTCTCACAGATACCCACAAATCAAGAAGCTGGAGACTGGCACCAGCTCTTTGGGACAAGCTTAAAAAGAGGCAAGAAGACCAACGAGGTGTAAGAACCTTGCTCCCAAATGAGCCATGGAACTGATTTCTAACAAAGTCAGCCAGCAGGTGGCCAATTTCAAGTGCAAATACATAATTGAAAATGTGCTCATGGTGAAGGCAAGAAGTGACTACAGCTTTAGAGTACCACAGCCTTCTCCCTTTCAAGTCCTTTGGCTTCAGTTGTCCCAGTTCATCCTCACTGCAAACCTGGGAGTGGCTGTTAGGTCTCAGACTTAGAGTGGAACAAACAGAGGCCCAGGGAAGTTCAAGGACTTGCCCAAGGTCACATTGGCCATGCCAAGACTCAAATCTTGGCAGGAGTTACCAGGTCTGTGCCCTTACTTCTGCACATGCCCCTCCTAGACCATGCTGCATTTGAAAGCAATGCAGACGTGTGGATTCTCTGTCTATAACAATAGCCAATTAGAGATAGTCATTGTACCCAAACTTAATTTGGGGAATAATTGTGTGGGAGAGCTAATTAATGATCAGCGTTTTCTTAAGAAAAATCTCTGTTCTCAAGAGTCAGCAGTCTTGAGATGTGTCGAGGTGAGAGCTATCTCTGTCTTGCTCAGGCCTGGCAAAGAGTGCAATTCTATGAGATTTGTTGAAAGAGGACATCTCTTCCCTTTGACAGATTTAATAACAAACCCCAATGGAGGTGTTCCATTCTTTCTCCTCAGATAGGCAGGGGGTGGACCAGACAGTTTGAGCCAGTAGGTTGATGGTGACACGGGAAATTAGAAAGACTGTGGAGGATACTGTTAGTGTTACCCTAAAGCCATCTGCCCCTTCTCCTCACCACAGACCCTGGTTTTGTTCTAGCCCCAGGAGATGAATCATGATTAGGCTAAAGCCAACACAGTAATTTCATTTGCTTTTCCTAGATTCTCACTTTCCCGGTTTCCTCTGTAGTCAGGATACCATTCTAGCCAATGAGACATAAAGACAAATCTGCTGAAAGGCTTCTTGCTTCCTGATTAAAGAGTTAGAAACTACCCCTTAATGGAAGAAACTACCCCTTCCTCCTCCTTCCTGCCAGGAATGTGCTTGTGTGAGGACATGATGGCTGGAGCTGTGGCAGCCATCTTGCCATCAAAAGGTAATAAGCTTAAGAAAAGCAAGCACAGTGAATATGGCTGAACAGAGAGATCAATAGCACCTGGTCCTTGCTGACATTTTTGAGCTGCTCATCAACTCTGGATCAGACTTCATTTTTTTTTAAGGTTTCAATATTTTATTCAAGTTTTATTTTAAGTGATGTTAATTACAGCATTTGAAGGGGAGGAACTAATTCCACACAAAATGGAAGACGCTAAAATGTACCCATTAAACTGCTAAAAAATAAACTGAGTGGCGAGAATACAAGAGAAGTTCAGTTTAGATTCTGAGTGTTGTCACCATGTGATTACAGTCACAGAGACTCTTCCCAGCTTGCACCTGGAGCTCTTAGAAGCTATTTCATACTCTGGTGCAAGGGCAAAAAAAACACAACATGAGAAAAAACACAATTAAGTCCTGAATTATTGGCTTCATCACATCCACCTTCTCCACCCCAAAATGGCACAGAAGAAACAGCTACCACTCCCTGCAGACTACTTTTGGTGTAAAAGAGGTGATGGATTGGGGTGGAAAAAGTCCCTGCCTAAAAAAGTCCCTTTCAGATGAGTTTGTATACACCATCCAACAGCCTCTCCTCAATCAGGATAGGAAACCAAGGTTCAATTCTCAGGAAGTCACAATTTCATTCATTTACTCAATACGAATTTACAAAGCGCCTGCAAATTATCAACTTCCACTTGCAGCCGTTTCTAGGTAAAAAAGGAACCTGACATCTCTAGAGGGGCAGCAAGCTCCCCCTCAAGTCTACAGCTGAAAGGACCTTTTTTGAAATTGGGTTTCTTCTGTACCTCTGAAAAGGTAACACCCTAAAGCTGAATCACCTTTAACCTGGAAGTCTAACATGATATTTAGCGATACTTGCATCTCAGACATACAACATTAAAAGGTACACTAAATTCTGAAGGTAGCTATGCTGAAAAATAGTTTAAAATTAAACAATTGTACAGTATTCATTTATGCTTGAAACTCCAGTCCTAGACCAAGCTTGTGGCCACCAGCGTTGACATTCTTGCCATCCAGCAGAGCTGACAGTGTCAGTTTGATACCTGGCTTTAGGGTCTGAGTATATCCTAACCCTATGAGGCTGGAGTTGTTCACTTTAGCCAAGAAGCAGGCGTCAGGGTCGATCTGGTAATTGGCTGCTATTCTGAAGCGAGTGTTACTGTTTCCCGCTGTCCAGGCTAGATTAACAGCAGTCTCCAACTTCTTGTTCACCTTCTGATAAATGGAGCCACCAAACTCTGTCCCATCATTTATATTAGTGTGAAGCTGGAACTCATCGGTCTTGTAGCCAACTGCAAAATTGCTCTGGGTCACTCGAGACTTTGCGGTCTCAAAATTCATCTGGTAGCCAGCCAGCCAGCCCTCATAACCCAACACCAGAGCACCCCGGATGGAAGGCCCGGCAATGTCGAAATCCACATCACAGCCCAGGCTGATATGTTCCCGCTTGTACCCAGTCTTGATTTTAGCTTTTTTTTTTTCCCCAGTGTTTGGAGAGAAGGATGAATTGAAGGTCAGCTTCAGGCCACGTGCAAGCTGATCTTCCACAGTAATCTCCGTGCCTAGTGTGTTGTTAGTGTTCCATTTCTCCGTAAACGTCAGACCATATTCGGTCCATCTGTACTTGGTTTCCAGACTGTCCGTCACTTTGGTGGTCTCGGTGTCGGCTGAACCTGAGCTTGTAAATTCCAGTCCATTCTCAGATTTTGTTTTCAAATCAAGTGTTATTAAGCCAAACCCATAGCCCTTGGTGAAGACATCCCTGGCAGATTTGCCAAGATCAGCATACGTGAGAGGCACAGCCATCTTCTGCACCCCTCTTTGCAGGTTGCACACCTTGGCAAACGCTGTTTTCTGTCCTAATGGCCGGACATCTAGGAATCATGCTCCATGAGTTGTGAATCCTCCAGGAAGAAATCCAGACTTCATATTGAGATAATTCAGAGTCATAATGATTTAGCCACAGTCTGTTTAGGTCTTTTGTTACACGTAACCTATCTGACACAAAGGGCAGAAGCAGACAGACACCAGTTGCAGAATTCAAGTCACATGGATGAGACCTGATAAGAAGCAGGGGCAGGCCAGACAAGGACCTGGAAGGCAGCAAGAAGCAAAGCTCAATGGCATCACCAGGCCAAGGAACAATTTCTTGGCATTTCCTGGGCTACGTGGCCTACCATCAACAGAAGCCTGAACCTGCTACACCGGCCCATGGCTTTGATGGTACTCCAGGTGTCTCTCATCGGTGATTACCCAAAGCTAGTGCACAAAGAACTGTTGCCTTTCACAACCACAGAGTTACAGGGGTCTGGGGTTTTGACATATTGTAACCTTGGACAGAGCAAAGAAGCTGACCTTCTCTCTTTTTAATTCAGTTCAATACTAAAAAATAGCTAGGCTCATTGCAACTGTGGTCCATGCATTAACTAATAGGGCAGCTATGGAAGTTCTGTGTATTCTTTCCTAATGGTTAGTTATTGTAAACTTTTTCTATTATAATGACCTGTTAAAGTCAGGAAGTAAGCTGCAAAATCCACATGAATTGAAGATCAGACATGAGGCTTCAGATACATTTCTCACTGCGGCGGACTCAAACAGTGTTCACGCTCCTCTGTTGTCAGGGGTACTCTGGGGGAGAAGTTGGAGGCTCACAGCAACCTGTGAGCCAGTTCATCAGCAGGGAGGCTTTATCCTCAGGGCAGCCAACTGGGGCAGGTCAGAAGGGATACCTCCAGATCTGCAAGACAGGGACTTCCCTGGTGGTCCAGTGGGTAAGAGTCCATGCTCCCAATGCAGGGGGCCCGGGGTTCAATCCCTGGTCAGGGAACTAGATCCCACATGCATGCCACAACCAAGAACTGGTACAGCCCAAATAAATTAATTAATTAAAATTAAATTAAGGAAAAAAAATTGATAGATCTGCAACACAAAGGAGTCCAAATTCATGGCCAGAAAAAAGCCACAGGCCTGGAGACCAATTCAGGATCTGTGTGAAGGGGGAAATCTGGGCTCAGGGGAAGAGCCGAGCCCTGAAATCCAGACCATGGAGAACAAAGGCATAGCACAAGCAAAAAGAAATAGAAGCATCCCTGAAGAAAGAGCTGCTTTGCCGGCAAGTTTCTTCTTCATGCCCACATGCGGCAGGGGAGCCCAGACCTGCAGAGGGAGGAAAGCGCTTTGGCTGGTTAAGAACTGGTGGCAGGAGTGTGGCTGCAACCAGGGTTCTGACAGTGACTCATGCCTCAGGAATAGTCATCACAATGGCTTTCACTTGGGGGCCTGCCGTGGGCCACACACAGTGCTAAGTGTCTTTTCAAATCCTCACAAAACCCCATGATTTAGGCCCTATTATCATCCCCACTTAAGAGCTGAGAAACTGAGGCCGAGAGAGGTAAAGTCACTCTTGGTCTCTAAAGTCTCCCTGCTGGTGAGCGGTAGAGGCAGATTTCAAAGCCCAAGTTCGGACTCACCTCTGTAATCTCAAGTCCACCCACTCGCCACCTTCCCGCCTCCTTCTCCATGAACTCTTCCCAAACCTGGCAGTTCCCACCAATCCTGTCCTTCTTTCCCACATTGCAGTGCCTGTAACAGCCTGCTTGGTGCTGAGTTACTTATTGCTGCCATACGGTGACCAAATGTTCCCTGAGTGTGCTCCCTGCCCTGTCCCCCCAGTAGCCCTGTAAGCTCTTTAGGAACCATAACAACTAGGAATGCTGCTAGCTGCAAGTAACAGAATGCCCAACTAAAGTAGCTCCCATAATAAGGTCACTTATTATCTCATACAAGAGTTAGCCTAGAGGCAAGTGTCTTCCAGATCATGTTAATTTAGTGGCTGGACAAAAACAGGGCTTTGGGTCAGCTTCCCTGGTATTCTCTTTTTTTTTTTTTTTTTTTAAGATTTATTTATTTTGTTTTTGGCTGTGTTGGGTCTTCATTGCTGTGCATGCGCTTTCTGTAGTTGCGAGCAGGGGCCGCTCTTCAATGCTGTGTGCAGGCTTCTCATTGTGGTGGCTTCTCTTGTTGCAGAGCGTGGGCTCTAGGTGTGCAGGCTTCAGTAGTTGTGGCACGTGGGCTCAGTAGTTGTGGCTCACGGGCTCTAGAGTGCAGGCTCCGTAGTTGTGGCGCACGGGCTTAGTTGCTCCGCAGCATGTGGGATCTTCCCATAACAGGGCTCGAACCTGTGTCCCCTGCATTGGCAGGCAGATTCTTAACCACTGTGCCACCAGGGAAGCCCCTCTCTTTTTTTTAGCTGCGTTGGGTCTTCATTGCTGTGTGCGGGCTTTCTCTAGTTGCGGCGAGTGAGGGCTACTCTTTGTTGCCGTGCACAGGCTTCTCATTGCGGTGGCTTGTCTTGTTGTGGAGCATGGGCTCTAGACGCGCAGGCTTCAATAGTTGCAGCAGTCGGGCTCAGTAGTTGTGGCTCGCGGCTTAGTTGCTCCACAGCATGTGGGATCTTCCCGGACCAGGGATCAAACCCGTGTCCCCTGAATTGGCAGGCAGACTCTTAACCACTGCACCCCCAGGGAAGTCCCCCTGGTATTCTCTTGACTTTATCCACATGGTCATAAGAGGCCTGCAACAGTGACAAGCAGTCCATGCTCACACCATATCATCCAAAGACAGGAAGCGCCCCTTGTATCCCTTGTCTGGAGAGCCATTAAAATGTTCCCTGGTGCTCCCCTGTGATATTGTGATTTACAGCAAAAAATATATATTTGGTCTTCATCCCTGTTCCTGGCACAGAGCTCATTATACCCTCGGAATTTCCTAAGTGATAAGAGCCATAAGGTGAAAAGAGAATCTTTTGTTATTCATAACAAGGTCCTTTCAACCACACCTGAATTTATGTTAAAAAGGTGATTTTTGGAAAACCCCTAGATCAGCAACCACAGGATGGGGGCTGGTTGCCAAGGGGAAGCAATCATGTGATTAGAGATGTGGAACTTTCAGTCCCCGAACTCAGCCTCCTGGGAGGGGAGAGGAGCTGGGGACTGAGTTCAATCGCCAGTGGCTGATGGTTTAATCAATCACGTCTATGTGATGAGGCCTCCATTTAAAAATGTCCTAACTGAAGGGGTTCAGAGAACTTCTAGGTGGTGAACATGTAGAGGTGCTGGGAGGGTGGCACACCCAGAGGGCGTCCCTTCCCCGACACCTCGCCCTATGCTTCTCTTCCACCTGGCTGTTCTTGAGTTGTATCCTTTTATATTAAACTGGTGATCTTATAAGTAAACTTTTCCTGAGTTCTGTGAGCCATTCTAGGCAATTAATTGAACTCAAGGAGAGAGTCATGGGAACCTGCAACTTATAGAGAGTGAGTTAGAAGCACAGGTAACAACCTGGACTTGCAGTTGGTGTCCGAAGTTGGGGTTGGGAGGAGAGGGACACTCTCATGGGACTGAGCCCTTAACCTGTGGAATCTGACGCTAACTCCAGGTAGATAGTATCAGAACTGAACTGAATTGGACAACACCCAGCTGGTGTCACAGAATTGCTTGGTGTAGGAAAAGCCCTCACATATTGGGTGACCAGAAGCATCAGAAGTGAAGTATTAAGAGCAGAGAGTTTCTCCCTTTACATCCCCCCACACACGCTTCTCCTGATGTCTCATTGGCCAGCATTGTATCCCACACCCAGACCTAAGACAACCGCTAGCAAGAAGACTGGAATGATCATGACTGCTTTAGACCTGGCCCTGAGTGCACCTGGGGGGCCCACACACACACCTTGACAGTGTCTGACATAACTGTGGTCTGGAGCTCTCCTCACTTTTAAAACCTCTCTGGGTGATGCTAACATTCTGTCAGGGGTAAGAATGGCTGGTTTGGGCTTATTAACATTTGGCCTTTGGGGCTGGGGAAGGGGTCATGAAGCACATGGCCGCCCAGTACCTGAACCAAATCTGAGTCAGGCTGCAAGGAAGGGGTTTGACTGTGAGTAAACAGCCGTAGCTCTGACACAGGGGCCTCTCCTTCTAGGCACGTGATAGGTGCTCAGTAAGCACTTGGTGTATTGAACAGTATCGGTCACTCCCAGAGATGGTTTGAAATACCCTCCTCCACCCAACAGTAGCAATTTCAGTTATCTTATAGTTATTTCAAGTTTGGAAATGTATTTCCTTTGACATAATATATATTTGTCCATAAATATATAAATGTATATAAAATATATATAATACATAATGTTGTATAACGTGTGAGCAGTGTCAGGCTCTAAGAATAATTTCAATAATTATATTAACCAGCGTTTCTCTGGGCGGCTTCCTAAGTGCCCATCATCCCCTGTGTTAAGCAGTGGAGGTTCTGATACAGGCATGATGATTGTGTGGGAAGGCAGGCTTGGGCATAATGATGAAGAATGCAGGCTCTCGGGTCATAGCGCAGCTCTACCACTTGCTGCTGTATGATTTAGGCAGATCCCTCCATTTCCCCATCTGTAAAATGGGGATCGTAATAGAGCTCTGGTTTTTGGTGTTCTAGTTGCCCTTGGGTTCAAATCCTAGTTCTGGCACAAACTAGTCATGTAACCTTAGGAAAGTTTCTTGGCCTCTTTGGGCCTATATTTCCTCACCTGTGAAATGGGGATAATAAAGGCAAACTTATCAGGATGTTGGGAAGAGAAAATGAGAATACAGAGAAAGTTCAGAGCACAGAGTCATCATTCAAGAGAGCACGCAGGAGAGCAGCGTGTCTAGAGGTCACAATAAAGACTGGTCCAAGGGACTTCCCTGGTGGCGCAGTGGATAAGACTCTGCGCTCCCAATGCAGGGGGCCCAGGTTTGATCCCTGGTCAGGGAACTAGATCCCACATGCCGCAACTAAGAGTTGAAATGCCGCAACTAAGGAGCTGGCGAGCCGCAACTAAGGAGACCGCCTGCAGCAACTAAGACCCTACACAACCAAATAAATAAATAAATAAATAAGAAAGACTGGTCCAAAACACCAAGGATCTTGACATGACAGCAGCCTTCAGATGTCTGAAGAGAGGCA